GCTGCATCAAGGCCATCTTGCTTGCACCCAACAAATTTAAGCATTCCAGGTACACACTCAATACTAATTAGTATTGATGATTGTCTAACTGCAGCCTCTGTTACATATTCTCTGGTTTACTCTGCATCACAATTGGCTGTTAATATGATGTCATGTACTGTTTGAGCATTGTGCTTGATTGTGGACAAGTATGTAGTGCAGGGCAGCACCAGAAGCACACTTTCATTTATATACTCTTCTGACTTTATTTGAGAATCCATGTTGTTCAGACTAGTAGTGAAGAACTGAAAGTTCTGAGTCTGCCCTTTACATTTCATAGAAACTCAGTGATATCTGCTTAGCCATTTGCATCCTTTGATCTGGTTACTTTTTTGGGACCTGATCACATCCTTGGAAGATGATGCTTTTGGTAGACAGAGGAACTAAATTATCTCTTTAGTCTTTACATGTCTTAAGCATAGTATTTAAGTCGTCGCCTAGTCGTCCAGGCGCTGAAAAAAGTCTGGGCGTCCTCGACGCATTGACCAAAACCAGCAAAATGAGGGAGCAAGGGAGGGAGGAGACATAGGAAGAACTGGAGGAGGACCAGGCAAGGCTAACCACTAATCTCTGCTCCCATCCCCATCAGCTCTGCTCCGATCCCCGCCAGCTCTGCTCCCCAGCAGATCTGGGAGGGGCTCTTGAAGGGCAACAGCAGGGGATCTCGCATAGGGATCTAGAAGGAGGGCGGCAGCAGTAGTGAGGAAGGGGAGGGGAGATCTAGAAGGGGGCGACAACAGCAATGAGGAAGGGGAGAGGAGATCTGGAAGGAGGCGGCTCCAGCAGTGGATACTGAGATGTGTTCGAGAGGGAGAAGAAGCACTTGGAGAGGAGGAGTGGCAGCCCTAGATAGTTCAGGATAGTTAGGGAGGGCTTTTATGGGCTATCTGCTGGACTGGGCCTTTTATGTTCCTTGTCCTTCTTCTTTTACTTTTTCTTTTTTCTTTTTTATCCCTTCTCCATTCTCCTGCCTTGAACATATGGCGTCGCCTTGCCTCGCCTTATGATCGCGCCTAGGCGACTCAAATGAGTGGCTCGCCATGTCTCGCCTTGTCGCCTTAAAAACTATGGTCTTAAGGTGCACATACATTTCATTATTATCTCTATACCACCATTATTAGCTTCATATCACTTGCCATTGTACCATGCTTAAAGACTACAACTGGTAGCACAATACTCTTGCATTTTAGGACCACCCATTTATATGATAGCTCTAGAATCCATAGGTTTGAAAATTTTAATCTGGTTGTGGTATGTAACTGAAAATTTAACAAGAGGTGTTTATCTTTCCCACGTTTTTTTGACAGATTTAGAATCTACATGCAAAGACTGCTTGGCAATTATGGGGTGTCTAGATAATGCCTGCATCTATCTGTTTCTTAGTTGTGGTGGTGGCTTCGTTGGGGATGGCCAGATTTGGCAGTGGCAACTGCAGGAGGCATGGATCTGGTTGGGAGGCATTGGTGTTGTATGAGAGCAAATTTTCTTTCTTAATACATGTATTAGGTGCTGATCTGTGATGCATGACCAATGTTCCTAATTAAACATATTTGTGATAAATGAAGGTTTGCAAGATGGCATCTGGACCTCTCAAGGGCACTGCAGGTATGTCTCTAAAATTTACATTCAAACTGTGGACAAACCTAGTGATAGCTGTAGCAGAGTAGTACAATGGTTCCAAAGTCCATCCAGTAACCAATAATGTGAGCAACACATGCAGTTCTACAACTAGAGTTTTGTTTATCTGAATAAGAGCAGAGCTGCTCTGCCCTTTTTCTCTTAGCTGAAATTACTGCTAAGCACAAACCAGATCTATAAGCACAAACATAAAACATAATGCTGAAATCTGACCTAAATTTGTAACCAAGTATACATTTTTTTAAGTTCTATGACTGCACTGCTTGCTACATAAAGGATCGAATGACTGAAAGTTGATGTGATAATTTACTGCTGAAAGTTAAACTTGACTGAAAGTTAAATTGATTATAGACATTTGTCGCACTTAGGCGCTAATTGTTTTCCTCTTTACCCCAAGAAAAGTATGTCTGGTCCAGTGCTTAGATGGCTTGACAATGGTTGTCTATACTTGACTGATTATATAACTCATATATACTGTACATCAGTTTTACATAACTTGTCTACATTTGCTGATTACATGGTTATATTTTTCAGGAAGTGCTAGGCACTAGCCTTTTGGCTTGAGTTTCTGGAAAATGATTCGCCAAATAACTTGATGGATGTGCTCTAGTTTCTGACAAGTCATTTTTTTTGGTTTTTGAGTTCCTAGAAATGATTGTGTGCACAAACCTTAGGATTGTGAAACACAAAGTACTAGTATTGCTTGCTGAGATGTCCGTTCATGTAATTCTTTTGGTGCTTGAGTTTGCTGGATGTGATATACACAAAAATATAGTGTACAAGACAAATTGGATGTTATATGTATTAACCTCCATGTGACATGTGACAATATATTAAGCTTGAATATCGGTTTCATATGTGCTAGAAATTGTATTTTTTTTGTATGTTTATATTGTCCTGTTAAACAGTATGTAACAGAGCATCTGTCGCTAAAAAGTAGCAATGATTTATTTGTCGCTATAAATATTCAGGGCAATGGACTATCTGTCGCTAAAAGTACTGTCTGTCGCGAAAGATTTTTAGCGACAGGACTTACAGCGTCTGCAGAAGTCTATCGCTATAACTTTTTAGCGTCCGACCGTCCATCGCTAATCTTGGTGTTGTGGTGTAGTGTTAGTTGATTATATGAGTATATACTAGATGAGCACATCGGTTGTTTGGTTTGCTGCTTATTGGCTCATATCTGCGCTCGCTCTCTCTCACACGGGCCATGGCGTCATGCCCCCGTGAGCAAGGCCCAGAAGAAACGGAAACGGTTCTGGTTTACCCAGAGCTAGGCCCGAAGGGGGGTTTTGCGTGCTGCCAGACAACCAATCACCACACAGAACCAAGTCAAAGCCGGAACCTGCCTACCAATCATGCCCATAGTTCCCATGGCCACTGAATTTGTTGTCCGGTGCAACGTTAGGTATGCTTCAGTTTCAGTAAACTAGTATGCACAGGCCCACTGAATTTCGACTGACAGCGTTCGCTTGAATTTTCTCAGGCCTTCGCTTGACAAATTACACAGTTGACTTCGGCAACAGAGGATCAGACCACCTCTCTGTCCGGAGCAATGGCTGGCATCTTAAGGCAACCTGGATGCTTTCATGATTTAATTATTAATTAGCTGAGGCCGCAGGCCGCACTAATTCCCAGATTTAGGCCAAGGTTAAAATCATGATGTAAACTTGCTTCATACACATACATTATTGTTTTGCTAGTCATTTCGGTGCTTGTGTTGCTGCATGCATGCTTAATTAGCCGTTGCATCGTAGCTTCCATTTCGATATATAATAGACATACAGTAATATAAAGGCATTATTCAACTACCGTACTTCCTCGAGCATTGTGCAGTGCATGTTCTTGAGCTGGTTCCCTCCCCTGTCTGTGTGCATGCTGCATGCATATGGCCTCAAAGAGTCAAGACTGGATTGCTTAGAGGCGCCGTTCATCAATTGCTTTCTTAAAAAGGCATGCATCAGTGCCTTAGTCAGCACTCAGCAGCCAAATCAATGACGGAAGTTCTGCACAACTATATTATCAAGTCAAATCTACTCCTGCACTGCACAGGTTTACACTAGGCTGTTGTGGTCTTTGTGCAAGTTTAGGGACCCCTGTAAATTCCACTCTTTCATTTAGTTAGGAGAAGGTTTGGACGGATGATTAATGTTCCATTTACGTGATAAAAAAGTACTCCTTCGAGGTTGGTAAAAGTAGTCGGTTTAGACAGCCACGGTCTCTAAAACATAACTTTGACTTCTTATTTTTATAAGACTATTTATTAAAAAGTGATATGTGTCTATTTTTATGAAAGTATTTTTTTTAGACAAATCTATTCATGTGGTTTTCATATTTTTAAACTCAACAACTTAAAAGTTATTCATGATTTATGTTCTCAATGCTTGACTCAAGCCTTATCCAAAACGACTTCTTTTAGCAACCTGGAGGTAGTATAAGTAACTATTTTTCAAAACAACTGTGTAATGACAAATTGACATCGACTATGTGACACATTGTTTACATAGAGAATAATTGTCCAAAGGTTTGCCAGTTTCATCAGAGCCGTGTAATAAAATTCAATTTGATACTACTTCATTATATTGGATACCTCATCCTCGAATTCAGGTCGGTCCATTTATTACTTTGGTTTGTCACATAAGTGAAGTACAAGAGCGACAAAGGTGGTGTTAAGATCGCTAGTCCAAATACTAAAGTTTAGCCCCTAAACTTTACTCCTACCGGGGTGTTTGGATCCATGGGCTAAACTTTAGTCCTCTGATCTATACTGATTGATTTGCCCTCAATTAATTATTCATGCACAGCCATGCATGCATGCTGAGCTGCTGGGCGCGCGCTGTTGCTCGCGGGCGCTAGCTGCTGCTGGTGTGCTGGGCTGCTTGCCGGCGCTAGGTGCTGCTGGCTTGCTGGGCGGTAGCCATGCACAGGCGAGCATGAATGCATTTCGAAATAGTTCACTTATTACACAGTGTCGGTCGGGCTGACCTGCTGGGCGGTCGGGCGAGCGCGGCGCTGCGGGGGGAGAACGAGTGCGGCGGCAAATCTACTCTACCAAAGCTACTCGATCCGCATGGTAAAAAAAAGAGCTAAAAATGGAGGGCTAAAGTTTTACCATGGATCTAACAGGACCAAAGCTACTCGACCGCACGGCCCCATGCTGCCATCACCTTGAATCTCCCACGTTCGTTGCAATCACCGACGTGACGAGGACTCCAGCTCCAGCTTCTACTGCTCTTCCGGTACACGCAGCCGCGTATCGGATCCAATAAATACCGCGGCACGGTCGTCAGCAAGCACGCACGGTACAGAGCTGATCGACGGAGATGACGACGAGTGGCGGCGCTGCACGCATAGTAAAGCCGGTGGACGATCCGGAGGTGGCGCCAGCGGTGGAGGCGGAGCCGTGGCCATGGCCGGTGAGGGAGAAGAAGGTGCGTCACCAGGCTTTCCTCGCCGGCAGCCTGATGACGCTGCTGCTCCTCGCGTGCTTCGTCCTCGGCCGGGAGAGCGCGTCGTCAGCGATCGACCTCGCCAAGCTCACAGCCATGAACAATGGAACAGCAGGTACATACGATCAGCTCGTGCATGTCCATGTCATTCCCGGGCTTTGCATGCTATAGCACTGTAGCATATCCGCAAAACTAACCTCAGTCGCCACCTGCCTCCAGGGCTTACGACGAACGCTCCTCATAGCCGTGACGAGCTTCTCGGCGGGCTTCTCCCGGCGGGCATGGACCAGTAGGCATGCCAGAGCCGGTACGAGTCGTGGCAATACTACAAGCACTTCCCGTACGCGGCGTCGCCGTACCTCCAGGGCAAGCTGCGCGCATACGAGGCTCGGCACCGGCGGTGCGCCCCCGGCACGCCGCTCTACGCCAAGTCCGTGGAGCAGCTCCGGTCCGGCCGCAGCGCCGAGGGCATGGAGTGCACCTACGTCGTGTGGCTCCCCTTCGACGGCCTCGGCAACCGCATTCTATCCATGCTGAGCGGCTTCCTCTACGCCCTGCTCACCGATCGCGTCCTCCTGGCCGCCTGGCCCCCGGACTCGGCTGACCTCTTCTGCGAGCCGTTCCCAGGCCCGACGTGGCGGCTCCCCGTGGAGGACTTCCCCGTTGCCAACCTGTTCGGGGTCGGGCAGAACATGGAGCAGTCGTACACGAGGCTGGTTGGTGGCAAGGTGGTCGGCACAGCCACGAACGCGACAGCGGCCATGACTCCGTCGTACGTGTACCTGAGCCTAGGGTATCGACTCCGGGATAGGATCTTCTTCTGCGGCGAGCACCAGCGCGTGCTCCGCAAGGTCAACTGGCTGCTGCTGTACAGCGACCTCTACTTCGTGCCGTCGCTGTATGAGGTAGCCGAGTTCCAGGACGAGCTTGGGCGACTGTTCCCGGAGAAGGAGAGCGTGCACCACCTCCTGTCCCGGTACCTGCTCCACCCGGCCAACCCCGTGTGGAGCTTGGTCATCAGGTACTACCGCTCGTACCTGGCTCCGGCGACACGGAGGATCGGCGTGCAGATCAGGATGTACGGCCACTCCTCAATCCCGGCCGATGACATGTACAACCAGATCCTCAATTGCTCCAGGCAGGAGCACATACTACCGGAAACCACCAACGACGATGACAAGGCTGTGACGCCGACCGCGGTGACTGGCGGCGATGGCAATGGCTGCAACAACTCCACGGTCATCTTCATCGAATCGCTGTAGTCCGACTACTACAAGAGTCTGAGGTCGAAGTACTCCACGCCGCACGTGGCGAAGGGCGGCGGCGCGACGAGGGTAAGCGTGTTCCAGCGGACACACGAGGAGCGGCAGGCGACTGAGAACCTGGCGCACAACCAGAAGGCGCTCGTGGAGATATACTTGCTCAGCTTCTCCGAGGAGGTGGTCACATCCGGCCTGTCCACGTTTGGGTACGTCAGCAGCGGCCTCGCCGGCATCCGGCCAGCGATCCTGCTCACCGCGTTCAACCACAAGGTTCCTGACACGCCGTGCCGGCGGGCAGTGTCCATGGAGCCCTGCAACCTCACGCCACCCCGGGGCCTCAAGTGCCGGGACAAGCCCGCGGACCTGGCACGCCATATCAAGGTCTGCGAGGATTTCAAGGATGGGGTCAAGTTTTTTTGACTAGGCGGCGTGGCGTTGTTACTTGTCCATGTGCATTTTCCTTCTGCAAGGACCGTGAACCCTAAGAGGACGTGAATTAAGCAACTTAAAAATCTACTTCTAACTATACCTCTAATTCTCACCTTAGCAAAATCTATGTAAATAAATAAATATCTAAATGTGTAACTTTGATTTTACTAGTGTGTTGTTATCTCTGCTGTAAAAGAGTTATGAAATTTAGATTCCAATCATATCAATTAGCATATCAACTATGCTAAGAAAGGTAAAGCATAAAACAAAGATTGCAATATAAATGTGATAGCTAAAGATGAGGTAGAGACCAAACAACCATCGACGACTCCAGTAATTTTACCAAGGTACCGAGAAACATGCAAACTTTACCTAGTGCTCATTGGAGCCTCTCGCAAGGAAGCCTCCGTAAGGGTCAAGCTCCGGGTAAGGTAACTACGTGGATAGCCTTGGGCCTTTCCCACATGCAAGTGGGTCTCCAATATGCCTTCCGGTAAGCCTCTCCCGGAATGCTCCCTACCGTCTATACTATCAAGCTTTCGGCCGAAACACTGCAGGCCTTGTTCCCTTCGTACATGGTGGCTCTAGGGCTTTCGACGACGAAAGCTCCTCATGGCCGCAATGAGCTCCTTGGTAGGCTTCTCTCGGCGGGCATGGACCGGCGGTTGTGCCGGAGCTGGTACGAGTCATGTCGGTAACATAAGCACTTCCCGTATGCAGTGTCGTAGTACCTCAAAGACAAGCTGTGCGCCTACGAGGACCGGGACAGGCGGTGCACCCTAGCACGCCGCTCTATGCCAAGTCCATGGAGCAGCTCTAGTCTAGCCGCAACGCCTACATCATGGAGTGCACCTATGTCGTGTGGCTCCCCTTCGATAGACTTGGCAACCACATGCAATCCATGGTAAGCGCCTTCTTCTACACGCTGCTCATGGGCCACGTCTTACTCGTCGCCCTACCCCAGACTCGACCAACCTCTACTACGAGCCGTTCTCGGGCACGATGTGGCACCTCCTCCGACTTCCCCATCGCTAACCTGGTCCCGCAGGGACAGAGCATCGAGCGGTCACACAGGAGTTTGCTCAAGGCTAAGGTGGTCGGCCTAGCCACGAACACGATAGCGGGCGTGCCGCCATACGTGTACCAAAGCTTAGGGTTTTAGCTCAAGGACCCGCTCTTCTTCTGCGGTGAGCACCAGCTCGTGCTCGGCAAGGTCAACTAATTGTTGCTGTACAGCGACCTCTACTTCACGCCGTCACTGTACCCAATGGCCGAGTGTTGACATCTGTGGTGGCACACAGACAAAATCCACAAGCGCACTGGTATCGAAGTAGTTTTCACCTAGAGCACATCCATGGGGATGTCAACGCCAAAAATCCAACGCTAGGAACAAAGTGATCAACGCCAGCGAGAGGGCCAGCGCGGAGCAGATCCTGAGCTTCTCTCCGGGCTTTGGAAGGGCACCACCGGACCAGACGGTCATGACCTCGGGGGGCGTGCCAGTCAATTTGACCTGCAATTGATAAGGGGGCAAGATTGATCAGTAATTTAAGGTGGAACATGCTGATCGTTTGTTCAAACAGTTCCAAATGTGCGGACAAGTGGCCAGCGAGACAAGGCTATCGACTAGAGAGTCGATATCCAACATGTTCATGATGTATGATAAGTAAAATGAGCATATCGACAATCATTAGTTAGTCAATTATATAGATCTAACCTACCGATCATCATGAAAGCATCCAAAAGATGTAAAAAAAAGGCGTGAAAGTATATGATTTGATTGAGAAACAAACTAGCTTTTAACCAAGACAAGAACAAGTAAAGAGCATGTAAACAACAAATATATATTCTCAAAAGACGGGCTATCGGCTAAATAGCTGATTCTAGTGAAAGAAGGGTCATAACATGCAACCACTCAACTATTAAACATGTATAAACCCGTACGCCTATCAGATCCAATCTACTATCTTTATCAGTGGGGGTCAGACTTAACCGATAAAGCCATAATAAGGATAACAGATAAACCTTCAAACCATATGGATCTATAAATGCTTAATGAGATCGTGGGAACACGCTATGATCATGAGAGCTCAGGTGATCGGCTAAATAGCCGATGCAGACATAGCATGCAGCCGAAGACTATGCTTGGCCATAAGCAAGGCTTACCACATGATGATTTCCAATCTAGGATGCTAGCAGTGGGGTCAGACCTAACCGATACAACCATAAAAGCACTTCTAGACCGGATTTCGTCAACTAGCAAGCCTCACCTAGGGCTAAACATGCCTTTGACCACACGCTATCTTCAATCAAGATTAGAACAGAACGGCTAGACTAGCAAGAACCATCGTCAAAGCGGGATGTAAACATTGTAGTGCGACGAGATGATGATTCCAAAAGAAATGTAAAGCCAATCTATCTCAATCTTAACCGGACAGGGGATTCGTATTAAAATTCGTACGAGATCAAACTTAACCGAGGGCAGCCGTGTGGATTTTGATAAGAATCGAGGATAACTATCAGCAATTGCAAGAGATCAGACTTAACAGAAGGCAGCCTTACAGTCAACAGACGATACCTAGCTTATATAAAGCTTGCAAGAGGTCAGACCTAACCGATGTAGCCTTACAAACAAGGTATAAGTCGTGATGGATACTCACAGACAAACTGGAGGTTGGACCTAACTGATGCAGTCCTGCTCGCCGAAGAACTTGTCGAAATCTACTCTACTCCTACTCCTAAGGGGTGGCAAGAGCCAAGAAAGTAAAGGTATTGATTTGTGTTGATTGTTGGAGATATCCATTACAATGCCCGAGGTTCAATATTTATACCCAAGGACTGACTATGAGTTCTGGTTGAATAAGACTGGTTACAAACTTGGAAAAGAAAAACTCCCTAATTTGAGATAACTTGTACTCCAATCTTTCCCTTTCGTGGAGTCCGATGTGTCTTCTTGCTTCATGCCTCGCCGATCTTGCCAATAGGGTCCATTCCCTTGATGTCGCCATTTCGCTAGCTGAACTGGCAATCTGTTTAGCTGACTTGAATGGAGGACTCGGCTTCCCTTGATAATTTCTTGTCTTCAGGGATTTCCTATCTCGAACCAAATTTCTGTGTCAACACATGCCCCCCCCAATTTCAGGATAAAAGTGATTTTATTCCAAAATTGTCTTATGTGCTATCTTGAGGCGGTCGACGTGTCTTCAACAGGGACCGAGAACTTTACCCTAGGGCTCACTGGCTCTGTTCTTCTTTATGCTCTTAGTCATTTGCATGCTTCACAGGTATGCCACTTCTTTGTTGGCATCCTACATCCCAAAGTTCCATGGGTGCACTATTGCTTCATGGGTGTTTGGATACAGCTTCTCTGGTCGACTATAAATCTCCGATCTTGATGAGAATGACCGAACATGCCTATCCAGCCATGTTCTTCTTGCTTTCGCTTTTCCAAGCGCTCTCAGCTTCGTTGGATCCTCTTTGGACCAACGGTTCACCACGAAAACCCCTGGTGGCTAGAAGAATTTTTGTGTTTAGGCTGATCGTTTCTCCCATTTTAGTGCCTTGTCAAGCAACAGAATCAGTCGTCGTGGCTAGAAGAAATCTTGTGATATCACCTGAGTCTTCTCACCATCGGTATGAGGCTATTCCAGTGTTTGCAAGGGCTCGAATGTGTGGACACCTTCCCCTTATTTACACTGTCTATGGCGAGAAGCTTGCGAGGTTAACAGTGCATTCTTGACGAATAGGTCTACTTCTCCCCTTGATGCTACTTCCATCTCTTAGCCGATGTGACTCATGTTTTTTGGCTTTGTGGGGTTCAGACTCCCTTCAATCCAATGGAGTCTTCTTGGGTTGGCTACTCGGTTCCGGGTGTAATCTTTCTTGCAATAATCCTCCAGGATCCGAGGTATCATAATCATGGAAAGCAATAAATTCTGAATCTATTGCGTCTCCTAATTCTTCGCAAACTATCCCCTCGATCTTCGGAGTGACGATTCCTTTCCATAACCGATTCTGATTGCACAGCCTTGAGGAGGCCTATCGTCGCGTCTTCTGGGTTATAAATATGGGCCATGGTCGTGGACAAGAATCCAATCTACCACCCCTTGATTTTCTTGCGTCCTGAGCGCGAACTGTTCCTCTCATCTTCAGATCCAAAATCATCATCTTTTCCACGGAGATGGAGAACAGCAAGCGACCCGCTGATGAGATTCTAGATGAGTTTGTGCCGCTGCACCAGCGTTCTCGTCTCCAAGAGTAAGAATGAACATGGTTTCGTGATCCGTGAGCAGATTAATCTAACCTTTCATATCTTTAGGGCCAACTCAAACGGTGGCCTTCTTCTCCGCATGATCGTCGGTCCTAGAGGTGCGCAGGTGGTGGCTCTAGTAAACTCCCCCATGGGATCCTCTGATTCCCATGGAAATGACGTCCGCCGACTTCTTCAGGAGAGAGATGAGGCCCGGGCATGGTACTCTAATGTGGCTCACGATCTTGGGTGCATGGACTTCCATCTGAATGCTCTACAGGATGCGCTCACCATCTCAGAGAATAGGGCCAATTCTTCTCAAGCGAGGTTGGCCGAAACTGATGCTAGAATCACAGGTGAGATTCCTTGCGGCGACTTCTATTCTCACAACCTTGACCTCACAGAACTCTGACTGCTTCTTTTCATCAGCCTTGTCAGTGCAGCTTGAAAGTCTCCAACTGGCTGCGGATTACGCGGCCAGATTCATCAATGTTAGGGGTGCTTTCCCTCGGTGATGAATTCTCTGTCTGACTCTGTGAATGCTACTAACGCTCTTTTCTATATGATTCTGTATTTTTCTTCTATTTATTTTGCACTATAGGCGATGCGTACTGCATCGGCTTTTGCCTTCTTAGCCTAAGTTGGGATCATTTATTTTTTGTTCTAAAGGCGATACTCTGCTGGTATCGGCTGTCAGACTTGGCGATGATCCGCACTGCGCTAACCCTTAATCATCAGGACT